ATTGGAAACAACTTCCTCCGGTTGAGTCAAAGCGAACACTCTCCCTTGATTGGTGCCGCCTGGGGCCTGAGTTACTAACGGTCTCTGTTGCAATGGCTTCGGTGGTGGGGACTTGTTTGCTTGATTGGTCTTTGGTGGCAACGATGGGCAGTTATTTCTAAAGTGCCCGACACCTCCACATGAGAAGCATTGACGCGAGTCAGTGTTTGCTCTATTCTGAGTAACCCTATCTCCTCAAACTATTTGAGGTCTCTGTCTAGTCATCTGGTCTGGGGCGACGGTATGGTGCCACTCTCTGTTCTCCACTGTTGCTAGCACCGGTCCGGATCGGACCTCCCCTCGCGAAGTTCTGGCGCTGCTGGTTGTCTTCCGTGTCTCTCTCCACTAGTGTAGCTCTATCAACAAGATCCTCATAATCTCGGATCTTGAGAGCCACAAGCTTCTCCCTGATGGCAGGCCTCAAGTCCTGCTCAAAGCGTTTGGCCCTTTTGACCTCGGTAGATATGAACTCCATGACATAGCGGGATAGCTCATCAAACTTCCTCTCGTACTCCGTCACTATCATGTTCCCCTGTCGTAGAGCGAGAAAGTCTGTACTCATCTTGTCTTTGATTGATTCAGAAAAGTACTTATCTTGGAATATTTGGTCAAACTCCTCCTAGATAAGTGTATCTGTGTTCCCTCTTCTCTTCACCGAGTCCCACCAATGGTCAACCTCCCCCTCTAACAGGTATGTAGCCAAACCAACCCGTAAATCTTCGACAACTCCCATGCCATCACATATCTTCTTCACCCCGCAAATCCACTTATTCGCATCCAAGGGGTTAGAGCTTCCTTGAAAAGTAGGTGGGCGTTGTCTTAGAAATTCTTGAAAAACTATCATCCTTCGATTCTCATCCCCATTGCCCTGTACATAAGCTAAGAGATGAATCCCACCGTTGTGGTTATTGTTTTCTATTCTGGTGTTGTACCAGAGTGGTTAGCTCCCTTAGGCATTGATAAATGTCGTTCATAGCATCGGGAGGTGGTGATGGTGGTGGGTTTGCTTGACCTCCACAACCACGCCCACGTCCACGTCCACGTCCTCCGTCCATCCTGCACATCAATTCACAATTTAGTTTCTTTGATGTACAAGACATCCTAACTTATTACTTTAATCTAAAGGATAAGGTTTGTATAAGCTTTAAGTAAATAATTCATTCAACCTAGTCCTAACTCTCTAGTAGTAATCCAGAACCTACAGTTCTCATGTAAGACCTAATTCCTAAGCTCTGATACCAAAACTTGTAACACTCCAAAATTCACATTGAATGACATTACTATCTAAATTCATTCACATCATGAGAGCAACTAATATAATCCATAAGTATAGAAAATTTCATTCATCATTCATAACATTTACAACCTAATCCAAAAGAATATGCCAAAGCCTGGCCATTGTATCCAAAAGAATATGATTAACTAAGGCAATTACATCTAAAAGAATCAAATTTGAACTGTAGTGGAATAACAAAAGGTTAGACTCTACATCATCTCAAAAGGGATTCCCTCGTCTAGTACATAGGGGAGTACACATCCACTTCGGGATCCACGTGCCCATCTAGTGGAGCTTCCCATTGTACGTGCTCTTTGCTTCCAAGTTCTTTATCTAAGCCAAAATCTGAAAAATATGATGTTGTAGGGGGTGAGCACTAAGCTCTGTAGCAACATCCTTCTAAACTTGAACAAGGTTTAGAAATCATTTAAAATAGTTCAGTCTCTTTTCTAAAATATCGTATATAACTTGAAGTAAAACAATGATAGTTTATTTGATCTCAAGTTAACGCAATGACAATAAGTTAATTGAAAAGAATAAACATGTCAGGATTAAAGAAAAATGATAAATTATACAATAGCCTCAACCCATATTCTCATGTATGTTGGTTGCTTCCCATGAATCTACACATGACTTTTACCTCGTTTACCCATCACAATCACACAATTCCAAACATTTTAGGAAGGGCATATACCGTATTCCACAACATTGACAAATCCTTCCCAGGAAAGATATACCATCCCTTAGCCTCGAACTTACGTGAACAATAGTGATTACTCTCACAAACAATAATCCACTACAAACGTTAGGCAACCATCTCACCCACCACTGGGATAGACTAACCTCTAACACTCTACGGCAATGCTCGAATGCAATTCAAATCCATCACAACAACCATACAAGAGATGCAAAAATAACTATTTTTGCAAATTACGCTTACATCAAAACCCCCAAATTTTCATAGGTATCTTCTCTAATAGAACAATTTAAGAAAATATGAAAGAGATCATTACAAATACTATTTTGTTATTCAAAACAAAGCACTAGAGTTTGAAAACCAAGCACAGAGGAATATTAAGAAGAAAAATTCATTTTTCTCAAAAACTAGGGTTTTCAAGTCAAGAGGAGAAATTTCATGGCTATATAAATACAACTTTGTTTAAAACATGGTAATAAGTGCAAAAACGTCAAGAGATAGGAATTTCATAGCATATACTTTGGATCAAGAGTAAAAACATACATACATATAAATGCCCTAACCTCAATTTACAAGAATGAAAAAAAATCCCTACTTTGGTGTTCTTGAAAGAAAAATAGGGCTTGATCCAATCCAATGTGCAAATCCCCTTTGATCTTGTGTTTTTCCCTCTCTTTCTTTCTCTCTAAGGTTTCCTAGGGTTACAAATGTTGAAATGGGGCTAATGGAGGCGTCATTATGTATTTATAAGGTGAAAAGTAGACCCCAAATCGCAACTTAAAATTTCTGAAATTTATAGAGCGTACTGGTACGTAGTACCGATACGGTAAACTCTCTAGACAATAGCGTACCAGTACGCTGTACCAGTACAGTAGCTTTCGGGCGTACTGATACGCAGTATCGATACGATTTGTTCAGTTTTCCTTGTTTCCTTTGTTTTTCATTTCCAAGTCATTCTAAACTCTTCCAAAATCAACCCAAACTTATACAACATACATTTGGACATCAAATATAGTTGATACAAGTTCGATTACAAAAAAAAATCATATATTACTTGCCACATATTAAAATAAAAGTGTGGGGGTTTACAATTACCCAAAAAAAGAAAGCTAAGTTTTATAGATTTCATTGCATAGGACAATTTTAGGTGCCTCCATATATCAAACATCTGGTGGGTAGTAGACAATATCAAAGATCTAAATCATAAAGATCACAGATCTAATATGTAATGAATAAAAACATTTTTTCCCAAAATCATTCAATGATCTACAGAAATTTCATCATAAATGTTAACCTAAAAACCACAAACAAAATTATAGAAACACACAAGAAATCACTTAAAATGAAGAGTTTGTACCTCTATTATTGTGGATCTCGATCAACAATAAGACAAAGATCAGTGACAGAGAGAGCTACTTTTGGCGTCGTCGGTGATTGGCGAAGTAATTGAAGGCGAAGTGGTCATTCAGTGTTGTTCATGGATGAGAACATCTAAATCGTGAGATGCAACACGACTGTGAGCGTGAAGTCTCCCTACCTTGTCAACGATAGTCGAAGAGTTGGAAGAACACCGATGAGAGCTGCCATGGGAGACTTCTTTGAGAAAGATGATTGGGCGCAACAAATCAAGGTAGAAAGTAATTAGGGTGAAAGTGTTTTTGTGGAAATAAAAGTTTTTTTTTTTTTTTTAACTTTTACTTGTTAACTTAATTAAGTGATAAAGTTACTTTTAACTTATTTAAAGTGTTTTAAATAAGTAAATCCAAACACCACTTTATTTTTGTTAAAATGCTTATTTATATCTATATCTATATCTATACATACTACTTATAAATATCAGCATTTGTGAAAAAATTTTGATTTTTTATTTTATCCCTAATTATTATAATAAAATCAATTATACCCACCAATATATATACTTTCATCTAATTTTTATTTTATATTTCTATTTATCTTTTAACTTGTTTTGAACTCTTTTATAAGGTCTTCTAAATTTTTTTGAACTCATTTATTAGTAGTATATTTATATACAATTTTCTATATCTATATAGAAGTAACTGAAAACTTTTGATTTCCTATTTTGACCATAATTATTATAATAAAGTCAATTATATCCAATAATATATATACTTTCATCTAATTTTTTATTTTTACTCTTATTTGATGTTCAACTTATTTTAGACTTTTTTTATAACGATTTCTAAATTCTTTTGAATTCATTTATTAGTTATACAATTACATACAATTTTATATATCTATATGAAGAATTAAAATTATATATATATATATATATATATATATATATATATATATACGTTAAATTATTATACAAATATAGTTATCAGATTGAATTTCATAATCAAATATATATTATATTATATTTTTTGGTATGTAATAATATAATAATATTATAAGCAATTCAATCAATCTATTTTAAAAAAATAAAAAATAATAATTATATAATATAATTAGTGTCCAAATGTCTAAAAGAGTTAGAGAGATACTTAAATAAATGGCAAATTATACACTCAAAATTTTATAGCATAAATGACAAATTAAATTTAGTAACCATTAAAATATAAATTAATTATTTAAATTTATTTACATGCGACGCTGATCGTGCATTACTAGTAATAAGTAAAAATCACAAAAATTTAAGTCATGCGAAACACTCTCGTAATTTAAGGTACCTTGCTACTTTGCTTCCTTCGGTCGGTCCTACGGAAAGACAGAAGCAACACTTAAGTTGTATGCGAAACACATCAAATTACCCAATGCCTCAGCCTTCCCCTCCCATTTCTCTCTCCCTCGGTTTCAACGTCTCTCAACAATAATATCTCTCCTATCCCAATCCAAAAAACAGTCAGCAATTCTTTTTCGGGAAAGTTGTCTCCCATTTAATTCACTTTTTTCTTTTCCCCATTTTTCTCCTCCCACTCGAAACAATCGAGAAAAACACACGCTACATAAAATCCCAAATTCACACCACCAAGATCTAGTCACACACTCGCACAATCTGTGTGTGTGTGTGTGTATAGCTGGTCAGAAAATGGCATCTGTACAATGCCCTAGTAACTCATTTCGTTACAACACAACTCTATGCGCCTGCAACCCAGGGTATCTCTACAACGCCACCACCAAAAGCTGCGATTTGTTCAGCGTATACGGAAACGAGTGGATGATGGACTCAGGTGTGGGGTACTCCATCACTTTCCCGGCTACTATATTCTCCTTCGACTCCATCAAGAAGTTCACCCAGTCCCAAGCAGTGTTTCTGGAGGCCACCGTTATTATGCTCCTCTCTTGGCTCGCTTTCTGCTTCTTTGTCCGGTTTGGAAATCTTGGAGATGGTCGCACCATCTGGTTCAAGATCCGCTGGTGGATTAGCCGCCTCGATGTCTGTTTTGCCACCCGCCATTGGCTTGTAATTCTCTTTCTCCCCATGTATTTATATATGTATGTATGTGGATATTCATTAACAAACGAGATAAACGCGCTGGCGAAGCTTGTGGAATCAGAAGGAGAAACTTCCCCCAAAAAAAAAGAATCAAAGGGGTGAAGTTTCATATGATTTGGAGGTCTCTCAACTTGTGTTGCTTTTTGGAATTCTGGATAGTCATCATTTTGGTGGTTATAAATATACATGTGTTTGCTTATCAAAAATAAATGTACATGTGTTTGAGACTTTGTTTTAGTTGGATTGGATAATAAAGATGGTTTATAAGGTTGTGACTTTTAGGAAAATACATTATTTGAGTTGTGATCATCCGTGGGAATGTTTGAGGAATTGTGAACTTTTGGAAGAGACATTATTTGCAGAGTTGTACCCATTGGAAACGATGAGAAGGCACCTCAGAGATTTATAAATATTGGGAGAAGACAACTATTGAAAGGTTGGGACTTTTGGGAAAAGAACCGTACGTTTAAAAATAGGCTCTTTGATTTCAATTAGAAAAACCATACCAGAGTTTTCTCTAACTCATCTTGCTTGGAATCTAAATTATTCCAAGAAGATTTATTTGGAAGTTATTCAATATTGCTCGTTGTAGTTCTCCACCCAATAGGCCTAGTTGTATCCTTGGACAACACTGTCTATAACATGTTTGTGAACTCTTACACTTATCTTTTGAAAAAAGATATTCTTTAGACTCTTTCTCTATATATAACTTTTGTCCACCATTTGTGCCCGCAAAAGCAAATTTCATTTTGCCCTTTTGTGATTAGGCGTAGTGCACCTCCCTTGGCTTTAAATATAGCCACGTAACCATCGTGTGATTTGAGGATTGAAATGCATTATTAATTTTGCTAAGATAGTTTGTAAAATGACCTACACCCCTTTTCTAGTAAGGACAAACCCATTAAAATAAGAAACTCTGGATTCAATTTGACGGTTTTGTTTCTTATTGACACGAATAAAAAATTTGTGTCTACAAACAGTAGCTATTAACTATTTGTTCTACTACCATGTAACACTTTCGATGGAAACTCGAATTAGCACTTCTATGAGCCTTGACTCTTCAGCATCACGCACCACAGTATTCTTGAAGGCACCAACTCAATACTCTCTTTAACTACCCCCAAGCTTCAGTCCATGAATCCTAGCAACTAGATCCCCGAAGCGGAGCAAAGCACCTAAAACCACCTGATCTCAGATTCTCTAATATCCTAATCTCTTTTGAGTCACAAATTAAAACCCAGATAATTAGAGGTTGTTGCTCTTGTTTTTAATGCTTTGGAGGAAGAGGTAGTTGGTGCAAGTGTTGTTAGGGTGATGAAGGAGATAAGTGGTCTGTTGGGTTTGACTTTTGAGTGTTTTTGTATGTGGGTCATAATGTTGTTTTTTTATCTTTTGGCAATGTTAAAATTGGAGGATTTTTTTTTTTTTTGGCATATAGGTCATCAATTTTGTTAATTTGGATGGAGTTTTTAACTGTGCACATTAGTGCATAAAATACATGAGGGTTGTGTTAATATTTTTGAAGGTGATGGGTGTAATGTGGGTAACAGTCTAAGCACAAGGGAGTAAAATGAGGGTTTTTGAAATTTTAATTGCTTTTTTGTTAATAGAAACACTAAGGGAGATAAAAAATTCTCCTTTTATGGTTATATCTACGAAGCATGAATACTTTGTTAAGGTCGACATACCTGTATTATATACGATATACATCGGATATTCGAAGATACATATCAGATATGCATCATACGTATTTAATAATTCATAAAATATGTGAATACTTTGCAGATATTTCTACACAGAGCAAGATGTACAATTTTAATTTTAATCTATGTCATCTCCTTTCCAATTCACGTACAATACAAAATATTAACAAAAGTTCATTTGAGTTTGAAGACATGAGTTTTTTTAAGTATTATCTATTATTACATCTAGAAAGAATATTAAAAAATGAAATAGTTATACTTTAATCTTACAAAGAAATACTTGTAAATAAATCAACTAGTTAAATGTTCGTTCTGATTCCTTTAATTAGTCCCATTCATTTTATGGATATATTATAATGAGACGATATTACATATTTTTCAAGGTAAAAATTACTAATTTTGCTTACCATTGTTAAATAATTATTATAAATTATAATTTTTAAGTTGTTAAATAATAGTAAATATAAAATATATTTTATTATAGATGTATCTTGGCCATATCTTAATGCTATTTTTTCAAGTTTTATTGTATTGCCTTATGTGTATCGTATCGTACCTTTATCTCGTACCCCTATTTATATCCGTGCTTCTTAGACCTATATATATACATATCATTGTGTATTTTATATTTGTGCATTGTATTCTTGAAGTGTTGACTTTAGTTATTTTGTTGTGTACTAGTTACCGTTATGTGTTTACCTTGTGCTATTGTCTTATAATATCACAATTGAGCTCATAGGCTGAGAGATAATATGGGCAAAATAATACAAAAAGAGGGTTGAAAGTTGGAAAAGATATGAGATAGTAAAAAGTTTAGCCATAAACCATCTTCTGCCATTCTACATTGGCTCGTACTCAACTCTGTCTTCAACTCTATCTTCATGCGCATACGCACACATTCGCACGCATATTGTAGGAAGCAGTGTTTTGAAAAGCTCGCCTAGGCGCTCGCCTAGGCGAGAAGCGAGGCGAGGCGAGCTTATCTCGCCTGGAGGACCCCAGGCGAAGCGAACGTGAGCGAAGCGAGAAAAAAGCGAGAAAAAGCGAAAAAGCGAAGAAGCGAAAAAAGTGAAAAAGCGATTTTGCTTCACTTTTTTTTTTTTTTTTTTCTGATTACAGGTTAGTAGTCTCTTTTATTTTTTAATCACTAATGACTTTTTTTTTAGACTATTGCTGGTCTATTTTTTTTTTTTTCTAATAAACAATGTTTCGAACAAAACACATTCCTTTTTTTTCCTTGTGTTGCTGAATTCATTTAGAATATTTGTGGGATGTGGGAGTTAGGCGACTACACTGCATGACAATTATGATAAAAAAATAAAGCAGGAGTATCAGAAATGGGGGTAAATAATAAATTCTTCTACAAAGAAGTGTCTCTGATATGTCTTGGTTATACTTTTCTCTTTTCTTATATATATACAAATGGTACCAAAAAGTGGTCTATGCTTATACCATGTTTAATTATTTAGTACATGTGAAATGTGCCTCTGTTCTGCTTTTTTTTTTCAGTATATAATTACATATGAAATTGTTTACAATTGATTCTGCTCCTGTCATGATCATTGTGCTTCTGTTTTTTTTTAGCTCATTCTGCTTCTATTTTTTTTTTGTTGATTCTGTTGCTGCTTCGATTTTGCTGTCCTGTGTTGCTTTTGTTTTTTTTAATTATCATTCTGCTTTTTTTTTTTTTTGTTGCTAATTCTGCTTCTTTTGTTGTCCTACCCTGTCAATATGAAAATGTATACAATTGTTAGTATTTGTTTGAATTTAAATGTTTAAATTATGACTGTTATTAAAATTTGAGATATTATTAGTGTTTTTTTTTAATTTAATGTTTATGGTTTTACTTGCATTTAAATATTTAGTATATATACAATTAGAACTTAGATTGTTTAGAAGTAATTAAACTAAAATATATATTTTTTTTAACTGTTCGCTTTGCTTCGGTAAAGCGTGTCGCTTCGCTTCTCGCTTCTCGCCTAGGCGTTAGGAGCCTTGGTCGCTTCGGTTCGCTTTACGCCTTAAATAACACTGGTAGGAAGGGTCGAATACATTATCGATTATAAATGTAAGAGCCTAGTCTCATTTTGTTTCTTTGCGTTCCAATTATGTCACTTTGTTGTCTGAATATTCATTTTGAAGTGGTTCAGCAGTGTTAATGGGGATATATCAATTGCACATCACATGGGTGTTCATGCGGGCATTGATGGAAAAGAAATTTGACCCATATTTTTCTCTTCTTTTTTTCCTCATCGTCTTCCTCATTTTTTCTCTCTCCTCGTTATTAAAACAGTAGTTTGTTTACCACCACAAACACCTGCCATCCATCACTCTCTATCTCTCGGTAGCTGCCTCCTCTGCCCTCACCTCACCATTCCCATATATCTTCCACCCTATCAAACTTTCTATCACTGCAAGACCATGACTTAAGGTTATTTTACCACCGTCCTTTCCCATATCCTGCTCCATCACGAACGCCACAAATCCACCATTGTCCACTTCATTAAATTACTCAAAAGAAAAATTAGTTTTGTTAAAATAGTAGAAATCAAATTCAGTCAAATGAACAAATGAGTGCATATGGTAAATGCCTCTTCGGGGAGATCATTTGGTATTGGAATCCAAGAATCACCTGACTTAGATGGTCTTAAAGGTCTTTTCGGTTTTTCAATAATGGTATCCATGAAACTGAAGTGTTGGGCAACTTGCTTAATATGAGATTTAAATATACTTGAAGATGAGTTGAGTTCTATTTATTGGATGGAGGTTCGTTTCCTTTGTAATCAAGGTAGGCTTTAGGGGCTTACAACAAGGGATGTGTGAAAATAGAAGCCTTTTCATTAATATAAGAGGAAATTATTACCATTTTGACTTGGTGTAAGACTGAACTATTTACCTACCTTAGCCTTTGCTATAGGCGATAGCCTTGTACGCAAAGGGTGCAAGCTTTTATTTTGTTAGTTTGGTTTATCTACGTTCTCTTATGCTTTGTCAAGTTATTTTAAAAGTTTCATGTTGAAGGCACATAGTTTATATAGTGTCTTGTTAATTTACCTTGTCTGTAGTAGGCCAGCTAGCTTCCCTTTGCACCTTTATGTCTACTTTAAGCGGGTCTACATAAAATTTAATGTTTCAAAAAGTTTGGAAATTCCATATTTTGGAGCCTTTGTTTTAATGGTAAGCCAATCCTTGCTAAATTTCTCCACCTTTTCAATTAAGTAAAAACTAGTTCATATATAATATTTTTGCAGATTTGTAACTTTTCTCCTTTTTTCTCCCTTTTGTTTTTGTGCGGTTGAAGCCTGAGATTATGAGTGCATCCTAAGGATTCTAGAGAGATTTGAAGAGTACTTCCTTTTCTGTTCTTCAGATCCTCTATTTCTTAAGTTTGTACTATCATAGATTGCTAATTGAAACCAACAGATAGAATCTTCTTCTTAGAATCTTAATTCCATGGTCTTTAAACCTTTTATCATCTGAAAACTAATACAGATGCCGTTTAAAAGTCCCAGCAACATACTGTCTGCAAAGCTCATCCTTTCTACCAATCTTCCTGTGTTGGTCTTTTTGTAATTTCTCTTCCATTCCTATATCTTTTTTCTTCGTCAGGTCAAGAGTTTGGTAGGATCATGCATAGAAAGATTGATAGTAATTGCAGGTAGTTTCATCTTTTTAAAACAAAGAAGGAAAACCGAGGTAGTGTGATATTTTAAGTTTTGAAAGTTGAAGTTAACATTTAAAGTACATATTGAATTTGGTATTGACAATTTAATACTAATTCTGTTTCTATGTAAGCATTAAATTACCCTAGGTGGTGTTATAGACTATCCTATGAACTGTTGCCGATAGCTCGTATTGGCGCATTTGCCTTACATATGTCTTTGGCCAGTATATGTGCAATTGGGATTCCATTTTTGTTGCATTCCAGAATTTACATAACGAGGTGACTTGTGTTTTTTTGCACTTAACTTATATTAATGTGAGTGCAAGGATCGTTGATGAGCACGTAGTACCAGATGACCTATAGGGGGTGAATAGGTTTTTTTGAATATTTCAATCCATAGACAGCGTTGAATCTTTTAGGGATCAACCATGAATCGACTCCTCAATTTGCTTCATCCAAGGAACCCTCTTCCTTGAACTCCCACTATGGAATCCTCTAAACTATCCAAACAACACTGAAAGTTTTATGTTTTACTAGGTAGTTCACATGAAGAACTTCATATAGATCAAGTTTTTCAATTTGTTTTGCAGCTCTAAAACATTACTCTCATGTTTAGCCTTTTCTATTTACATAGGAGCAAAATTTGACACAAATTATGAATTGAAATTCATAGAATGCTGATAGACCGCTCGAGCCTTGATTGAGTGCTAAGTAAGCGTTGGCTACTGGACTGAACCTGTCTGGGCAGACCCAACACGAATGCTCAAATGTAATCTTGGGTGCTGAGTGAGCGTCTAGCAGGGCCAACTCAAATGTGAAGCAGCATAAGAGGCTGCTTAGGGCCCCAATTTTTTTTTTTTGAATAATTAGTTATAAATATTGATTTGATTTTGTTTTGTCTGAGCCCTATTATTTTATTTTTCTACAGTATAGAAATTCTCATATTTTAAAATATATAACGTAACTTGTATTTTAGTTTGTATATTTGTGATAATCCCATTTGTTAGCCATATTACGAACCCTAATTAATTAAATTAATCTTTTCTCCACAAATTACAGACCCATATATATGAAGGGTATATGATGGAGACTTTTTGTCTAACTTATACTTTTCTTTCAACAATATTAATGTTGTGAAAAGCAAGCTTAGGTGAGTGCCTAAGCGAGAAGTGAAGTGAAGTCAGCCTTGGTCGCCTTGAACATCTCAGGCGAAGCGAGGTTAAGTAAAGTGAAAAAAAGAGCGAACTTAGGCGACGAAACGAAGAAGCAGCCAAGCAAGAAAAGAGAACGCTTGACTACAGTTTTTTTATTTTTCTCCTCCTCTTTCTCCCTCCCCCTCCTCTTCCTCCTTCCTTAACATTAACTAAACTTTGGCAAAGATTATGTTATATGTGTATATATATAAAATAAATTGATTGATTAATCTAACAGTATCACATGACATTCTGTCTTATTATGATTAGATGATGTTGAATGCTCAGTTTTGATGTGAATGTTCTTGTTAATCAATTTGCTGGGTTAATCAAATTAATTAATCAATTTTTTATGTGTTCTATTTGATTAATCAATTTGTGAGTTCTTTATTTAGTGGTGATATTAATCAATCACGGTGAAAGTCGAACTCACATTTGCCAGCTTTACATTTATATGATGTGATTATGTTAATTGATTATTTTTAGAATGTAATGATGTTCAATATTTAATATCTTGTCTATTTAAAATTTGTTGATGGTTATTTTGGTTTCATTTAAATAGTTTGTACTTGTAAAGTTAAAACTTAAATATTTATGAGTAATCAAAATATCAAACTAAAATATTTACTTTTTTTTATATTGTTCACTTTGCTTCGATTAAGCTTTTGCTTTACTTCTTGCTTCTCGCCTAGGCTCTCAAGAAGCCGGTTCGCTTCGATTCGCTTTACGCCTTAAATAACACTGAACAATATCTTCTGGCCCAAAAAAAAAAAAAATTAATCATATTTTCTTGATAGTCTCTCCCTCTACATATCTCTCATTTTTTGTACACTTCAAAGATTGATTTTTTAAACTCACATGGTTTTGGGGTCAAGTTGCAACTTTCTGGGCTACTCGACACGCCAAAGGTTGTGACTAACCCCTAAAAGAGTGTAATTTGATCCCAAAAGTAATATTTTTAATATCAATTTTTTATTATAATTTGACCTTATAAAAGTAATGAGGTAATGCATAAAAAATTTAATTTTCCGTGGATATTATCTTTGTTAACATCCTCATGCATTAGCAATACTTAAATATAAAAGCATAATTACTAATTTTACATCTTAAACAATTGATTTTTAAATAAGACTCTAGTTATACTACTAGTATACTAATAATAAGGTTTAACAAGGCCTCGTCTAAATTTTTTGCTTAGGCCCCAATTTTTGTTGGCCTGGCCTTGCTGAGAGGGCGGTACCTACCCTTTGTTTTTTTTTTTTTGCATACAAAACTGGATTCAAATCAACCTTTTTGAGTACCATTGGGTTTTACTCAACAAGGCTTCCCACCATGACTTTGGAAGTGTTTCAAAAACATCCTTTCAAAAGTCATGTTACAGATGTCACCATCCTGGTTCTAAGTCCAATTTTAACCTTCGTTTATAACCATGCTAAGATCACTCGGTCAATAGTTGCTTACCTCACCTAAACCGATGGATGGCTAGGGTAGGACTTGAATGTAGCATGTTGAAGCAATCTTGTAAGCATCAAGACCATTGAACTTGGTACCTCAGAACACAAACTAGACTTTGATACAATGTGGCTCTTAACTAATTTAAAATCCTGATAATGTGGGTATTTAAACTTCACATCAATTGCTGCGAAATTTTTTATCTTAGGTTGCCATGTCAAGGGAAATGATCTTTTGGTTTATAGGTTACGGTTACCAATTGTAAACACGATCGTGGATTCCTATTTTGAACCTTGCTTTTTTTTTTTTCCTTTGAAAAAATATCGATAATTTGATTAGCGCACCTGGACAGCTATAAACGTTACACATTTTTACTGGTACCATGTTCTGTGTGTAGGATGACCAGAAGGCAGTTATGAAGCGGAAAACGGAACTTGGTGGAACTTTCTCAACTGCAAGTTGGATACTTTTTGTTGGTTTGTTTGCTGCGTGAGTTACTGATACCATTTTTTTGCTGAATTATATGATGTTTAGTGTCTATTAAACCTCAGTGCAGTTGATATTCCCACCCCCCTCCCTCTTTCTCTTTTTCCCTTCATGTACGACTCAATGTGTTTTGGTATTGACTTTCTCTTCTCTACTTTCACAGGTTGCTGTACCAAATAATATCAAAGAGAAGTGTTGAGGTGCATAATGTGAAAGCAACAAATGCATCTGATTTATCCTCATTCATCAATGACTTAGAGTTTAATATAACCACCATTTCTAGTATGAGCTGTTCACATTTACGTGGTCTTGGCACTTTAGTGACTGGGAATCCGGGCTTTATTGATTATCGAGTTGCTCCTCTTTCTACATTTGTCAACTATTCTTGTTTGAATACCACCAAGGGGCCTACCATAACTCTTAAATGCAACAACTGTCAGCTTAGTCGAGATATAACATATCTCTCGTGGAGATTTGTTGATCTTCCAAATGCCCCTGCAACTGCTGTTGGATTTCAGTTCAACCTCACTGCAAAGAACCATGTGAGTAGAAAACATGTGAGTTTTGTCAGTGGAACGCTAAGGAATGGAAGCAATTTTGATGACAAGCCAACTACATATAGAGGGGTGGATCCAAATATATTGAAATTTAATTTATTTCCTAGACTATACCATAATTTGCATGATCTCAAGCTCATCCAACCTCTGTTTCATGAGTTTCTCCCCGGTTCATCTTTTGGGGAGATAAGTCAACTCCAAGCCTCCCTTCAAAGCTCTATTGATGGACAAATCAATACCAGCTTATGTATCAATTTTCTCTCATCTTATATTGTTGAGATCGACAATCAAAATATCTTGGGGCCTGGTGAGTAGCATGAACTCTCTATAGTTGGTGTGTTCAAAAGCTTTTGTTCACTTATGATTGTTTCCCATTTGTATAGTCATGTTAGGTATCGTATGTATGTTTTCACTAATAAATTACTACAGGGACAGAATACTATCTTATATAAGGTTATCAAAATGTGTATCATAGTGCGTATCATTTTTTTAAAAAGTGTATCATGGACTGTAACGTATCGTGTATCATAACATATCATGCATTATAAGATACATTGAATTTTTTGAAATATATATATATATAATAAAGTAGAACGAAGTTTGAATCCAAAAGACAAAGAGAGGTTCAAATTGCTTTGAGACAAAACATAAACACATCCAACGGATAATGTAATCTCAACATAAAAGACAATTCAGATCATCTCAAAAATTATGATTCGTCGATTATAATTGAACTTAACTCTAACACTCCTAGATCCGACGATTATAATTGGACTTAATTCTAACACTTCTATATCTCATATAATTCTCTCTTATCTCTTAGACATTTTAAACACACTATCTCATCTCCTCTTTCTCTCTCTCTCTATATATATATTAAATAAAGTAGTTAGATTCAAAACCAATCTAATCGCCATCACCACTTTCACACAAATAAAAAGTATAAATATACAATCCATAAATAAAATCATAAAGTTATTATTCATACAAAAAATAAATCACTATTATATGAAAACCTGCAGTTCTCAAAAAAGAAACAGAGTCCAATCTAATCACCAATAAAAAAAATAAGTGACTAATAAAAAATAACAAGTACTACGAATTGCACAAAAAAATTTCAAAATCAATCTAATTGTTATCACCACTTTCACACAAACAAAAAATACAAATATCCAACACATAAGTAAAACCTTTGAACTATTATTCATACCTAATCACCACTTTGCACAGAATTATATGAAAACTTATAGTGCTCAAAATTTTAATTTTTATTAAAAGTGAACAAAACATATTGTTGATTGCCATAAATGATTAGTTAAAAGAATATCTATTACAAATTTTATTAATGACAAAGCATCTCATTATTTCATGTTGATTATATTTTTTGTTCAATTTTTATAACTGGGTAGTTATCAAATATTTTATGTTTAATTTTTATAACTGTGCAATTAGAAAAAGTTTAACATATTGATTATTTTTTTGTGTTGGTTTAGTAGTGTATGCTTTGACAATAGTTTGTTGTTTTTAATTTTTAATATTCGTGTGGTTTAATTGTGGATATATTGTTATTAACTAATTGTTGTTAAATGTTATATGTTAAAAGTGTATTGTTTGTACCTTGATTTAGGTTGATTTTGTTTAATTTCTAATTTTACGATAAAACTTTGCATAAAATTAAAAATATTTCTATTAAACACACATAAAATACATAATATCTCTAAGTTTAGTGCTTCTTTTTTCAAGGTTTGCCAATTTACATTTGACCCCAATAACTTCATACACACCATCACTACAACACAAAAAACCAGTACCCAATTGGACAATGTCACCATTTTTTGACATGTAAGTTATTTGGTTTATAGATTTTTTCAAAACTTTTGGTATAATATTTCATTAAAAACTATTATATACTTACTATATAATTTTTCATCATTCTTATTACAAACTGATTCACACCTAGAATACACCGTAAGTAGATCTTCTTATCACACATCTTAGTAACGGTGGTTGATGTTTACTTATTACTTCTTATCAATCAATAAAATTTAAATTATCTTTATAATCCATAAATAAAATCATCAATTTATTATTCATACCAAAAATAAATCACTACTGTATGAAAAACTATAGTTCTCAGAAAATAAAAAAAAAATTTAAAGCCCAAGCTAATCAGCAATTAAAAAAAAATAGGTGACCAATACAAAAAAAATAAGATACTAATTGCACCAATAAAAAATGTTCAAAACTAATTTAATCGCTATGTATTGAAATTATTCAAATATCCTATCGTTGTGTGTTGAAATTTTATAAATAACATAGTGCCTTCAGGTACGGACAATAACTAGTATATATATATAGTTCTAAAACGATATAAATAATATTTCAACTTAAATTTTAGCAAACAAATTTTCATAATTCATAATATAGTTCATAATATTCATAACATAGTTCCAAACAAATTTTAGCAATTAAAGTTTATAACAAAATTCATCAATATCAAAATTTAAAGATTAGCAAAATCCAAAAAAATCATTCTTATAGTCTTATGAATCACATTTTTATCTTAATCTTCAATTTCAATTTCAATTTTAACGACATCAATATTTATAATTACATTTCTGCATCTCTATCTTTTTTAACCTTTTGTATGCTTTCATTGTCTTCATTATTTTTTCTTTATTTTTGTTATTTGACAAAATATTTCTAGGACCAATATAAAGATAATGTTTTTATTATTTTGTACTTTTTAAACCAGTAATGTGTAGTGTAATGTAAAATGTATCTAATAGTATTGTACAATATGTATTGTGTATCGGTAAGATACTTTGTAAAACGTTTCACACTCCTATATCAAAACGTATTATATGTATCGTATTGTGTGTCATAACATACTAAAAACCATGATCTTATATGCTGATTCTACATACATTTTAATCTTGACACCCCATCAAAAAAATAAAAAAGAGGAAAACAATTTATATGTTCATTGCTAATTTTTTGAGAGTGCAAATGGATTGTACGTTGAACGCTATGCTTAGAAGTATACTTGACCTAGTAAAAAAAAGGGGGGGGGGGGTTGAATAGGTCTTAGGACTCAATGGGGAATTAAATGCCTAATTAAGACTAATTCACTTCAATTACTAATTAATATGTAAGCCCCCAAATTATCTCAAACACCCAGTCAATTGGGGAACTGAACTCAAATCCCCACTTTTAAACTAACACCCACAAGGAGATTCTTATTCAAGCATTATGTCAAAGATGTGAGTCGTGTAAAATTGCATGTAGAGAGATATGGAAGAGATAATCAAAATACAACACAAGCAATTTTATGTGGACTAGAAACCCATGCGTGAAAAATTACAGGACCATGGTCTGCCTAATCTAATCCATTAGTTTCAAAGTAAGATTACGAGGATTAAAGACTTATTCTTCAATCAATACTATGGTTAGATG